TGAAGCGCCTGCGCGGCAACGCAGACCTCTTCCAGGAGTTCAAGGAGGTGCCAGAGGCGCAGGCCTGGTTGAGGTTGTTCGAACAGGAGAAGATGAGGTACCCGATGTTGATTGTGATGGCACCGTCGCACACCGGCAAAACAGAGTTCGCCAAGTCTCTGTTTAAGAAGCCCTTCAAGATAGAGGTGGGTGTCCTGGCGCACTTCCCAGAGAAGATGCGCCAGTTTAGCCGAAAGGTCTACGATGGCCTCGTCGTGGACGACGTCCGGGACCTCGCCTTCTTGTCAGACCACCAGGAGAAGCTCCAAGCCAACTACGAGACTGTGGCGGAGTTCGGGTCGACGGCTGGCGGGACCTGCGCGTTCGAGCAAGACTTGTGGCGGGTCCCCGTCGTGGTCACGATAAACAAGAGCACGCGCAACCTGGACTTCCTAGCAACCCACGACTACCTGAGCAAGACGGAGAACGTCCACTTCCTCGCCTTTAGCGGCCGGCCTGGAGACTCGCCTCTGCAGACCCGCTGGCCTTTGCGGGAGAGCTAGGCACGCAGACGGCTCCTGTGCGCCCCCGCACCGCCACTGTCTTGGGAAAAAGACATCTCGGGATATCCAAATTGCATGCGTTCACCATGGTTGGGGGGTTCAGTATCTAGGAGGAACCCTGCCTGCTTCTACGGGGGCCCGTCTACATCGTATTTTACGTGTGTTTCGGGTCCACATCCGTTCGAGGCCTGGCCTTTCTTTTTTTCTAGGCACAACCTCGCCTGGCCGAAGTCGCGACTGCCGACTGCCTGGAGGGGGCTTTCGTTTTCCAGAGGGCGGGGCACGGCGGGGAGCCGAGAAGGGCAGGAAGGGGCAGCGCGGCGCGGCGTGCAATGCAAGGCGCGGCGCGGCACGGCAACGCCAGGCGAGGCCACGCTAAACGGGACAGAGCAGGGTGAGAGGAGGCCCAGGCACGGGGGCGCCGAGGCGCAAGCGCATGCACGCGCCCAGACGCAGGCAGACAGGCATCACCGACTGACAGCGACACGCACGTGCGCGCACGCACGGACACGCGCGCGCAGGTGCACGCGGCGCAGTTTTCGGCTCAAGCTTCGGCGCCCACTGCGCCGCGAACGCGGCGTCCGGCATACTACCGCCGTTTGTGGCTATGACAGTGGTCACTGAAGTTGTGCACCCCAATGGTTTGGATTTCCACACCAGCGGCGGGTTGTCATTCTACGAGACATGCGCAAGCCAGGTGGCAAGAAGCTCGCCTTCGCCAAGATCGCGAGCATGGTCCGCACCCTGAAGGGGAAGCGCAGCACCGAGGATGTTGTCCGGCGCGTGTACAAGAGGTTCAGTGCGAAGAAGGGCCGCGTCTCCTACAAGTACGGCCGTTGTGGGAGGAAGCCTTGGAAGGTGACGAAAGAGGTCGGGGCCTTCCTCATCGGGCGCCTGATGCAGCTGCGGAGGAAGACAGCGTGCACGTCAGCGACTTTGCAGGCGGAGTTGTACAGAGAGAAGCACGTGAAGATGAGCGTGGAAGGGATACGCGTGCACTTGAGGCGCAGAGGCTTCCAGTGGAAGCCCCGCGCTCAGAAGCCACTCTACAACGCCGAGCAGCGAGCCAAGAGGAAGGCCTTCGCGGCGCGGTTCAAGGACATGAGCCAGGCGGCGATCTCCAAGCATATCACTCTCGCCATGGATGGCGTAGTCCTGACTGTTCCACCGCGTGACCAGACGGAGAGGCTGAACTTCTGCATGCAGGGTGAAACCCACATGTGGCGCCGCGACAATGAGGCGGCGGCGCCAGAGTTGGCAGGTGCCGACGACTACCCGGACCAGGTCCCGAAATCCCGCGCCGTTCCCCTCTGGGGGGCGATTTCAGCAGAGGGCTTCCATGAAATTACATACCATGAGAATAGGAAGTTGAAGAGGGATGAGTGGCTGCGCGAGGTGAGGGCCGGGAAGCTGTTCGCGGCCGTGAAGAAGTTGCAGCCCGGGAAGCACGAGGGCCCACGGCGGCTGCTGTGCGACAACGAAAGCTTCATGGGCGGCAAGGATTGCAAGAAGGAGTATAAGAAGAAGAGGATCCAGCTGCTCAACATCCCCGCGAGGTCTCCCGAGTTCAACCCCATCGAGTCCTTCTGGGGCTGGCTGCGCCAGGCGATGCGCCGCAGGGACCTCGAGGACCTGAGGAACAAGCGGCCCGCTTTGGGAAAGACCGCCTGGACGGTCAGACTCAAGAGGTTGCTCAAAACTCAGAAGGCGCAGACTGTCGCCAAGCGGAAGTTTCAGAACTTCAAGAAAGTGTGCAAGGTCGTTTACCAGAGGAAGGGGGCGCACTCGGGCCTCTGACGCGCGTTGGCCATGACGCCGACTTGTCCCACTGCCGAACTGAATTGCCATCCCTGTCGCGCGGGATGTAAAAACCGACGCATCGGCCCAATGAAAGTTCCTTGAATTTTCATCACGACGCTGGCCTGCGGAAGTCGACGGAAGTAAAACGAGGCGGAAGACGGGGGAAGGCCGCTGGAAGGCTTGCCAATGTCAGCGGAATTCAAGGACGCCCCTTCCGAACCCCCCACCCCCCGTAGAAACCTAGCAATGTTGTCTTCCTCCGTGGGCCGGGCGGGATCCCGCCTGGCGTATTCCGCTTTAATATTATAAGTTTAGTTCAGGACGATCAAAATCCCACCCATTAAAAATGGGGTAGACCAAAATCCCGGGTCGTTCACGGATCCCACCAAGCTGGGATCGGCTCGAAGTAAGATGGGGCTCATAAGTTGCAGTATTATTGCCGTGTTGGGGTCGTCTTGAGGTCATCTTGAGATCATATCCCGGTCATGTTTGGATCACGCAACCATCGCGTGGTCATTATGAGGCCACCCTGGGTGCGCTTGGACCCATCTTGTTGCCATCGGGCCATCTCGGCGTCACGCGTTGCTCATGTGTTGCGTCATCTGCGAGTCGGCCTGAGACGGTCCAGAATCCATGGCGGGATCGCGATGGGGTGGCATCATCCTGGGTCCTCTGGACGTTATCGTCCGTGGCCTGAGGCATTCCTGGAAGCATGTTGTGGCCATGGGGCGTCTTGGGGCCGCGTGCGTGCGAACGCTGAGCACGCGCGCGCGACTTTTCATCTTGCCGACGGGTTTACATACATATTATTCCTCTTGCGAGTTTCCAAGGAAACTTTTGTTGGAGCCAAGTAGAGGTCCGAAAAACCAACGCCCTGTCTGCCCCATGCGCGGTTTACCGTGGGGATGTTCCCTCGGCTCGCGCCCTTGGGGAAACCGTGCTGGCCTGCCCCTTGCAGCGGCCCCTGCGAGGGCGGGGTCTAGTCTTCTGCCAAGCATACCCATATTAGTGCAACATACAACGCATTCTTTGTACACCCGCCTCAGGCTCGCCTGGCAACGGCTATGCCGCGCCAGGGTCGCCGAGAAGCAGTTGACAGCGCAACTTCCTTTGGTCTCCTTTCTGGTCTAAGACTGAGTATGCCCACTCTTTCGGGCCCCCCTGGTCCAGTCCGTCTCCAGCGTTTCGGCGTGTGGTTGGCCATCCTCTTCAGGACCTGCCACAACCAACCACACGGGGCAGGCCGACGCTGTCACGAACGACACCTCTGTTTCCGACTGTGCGAAAACACCACGCGTACCTCTTGAATGCAAAGATACACTGTGTCTGGTCGTATTCTGGGACCCCTTCGTACACACCAAAATTGCCAGAAGATGTCAAGCCAGGCTTTGAGAACTTGTTGTTTTGGTCTTCACAGAAAGGAAGGAACAACTGCCCCCTCTTTCGTGACACCGCCAGCAACCGCAGCCAAGCCGGGCGATGGCCCCCTTTTCCTTGAGCGGACACTAGCCACGGCCCGGGGGTGTGAGCCACCCGACCCCTGCGTTAGGCGCTCGTGGACAATCAACACGCACCTGCGAAGCCACCTTTTTGGTAAAGCCACCACTGCTACCTCTCTGACTGTTGGGAAAAAGGCCGCACCACCGAAGACGAGCTCCTGGAGAGACTTTCGGCTGATAATCTGTATTCTGCCAAGTATACACATATTAGTGCAACATACAAGGCATTATTTGTACACCCGCCTCAGGCTCGCTTGGAAACGGCTATGCCGCGCCAGGGTCGCCGAGAAGCAGTTGACAGCGCAACTTCCTTTGGTCTCCTTTCTGGCCTAGGACTGAATATGCCCACTCTTTCGGGCACCCCTGGTCCAGTCCGTCTCCAACGCTTCGGCGTGTGATTGGCTATCCTCTTCAGGACCTGCCACAACCAACCACACGGGGCAGGCCGACGCTGTCACGAACGACACCTCTGTTTCCGACTGTGCGAAAACACCACGCGTACCTCTTGAATGCAAAGATACACAGTGTCTGGTCGTATTCTGGGACCCCTTCGTACACACCAAAATTGCCAGAAGATGTCAAGCCAGGCTCTGAGAACCTGTTGTTTTGGCCTTCAAAGAAGGGAGGAAACAACTGGTCTGTCTTGGCAGCAGAAGGCTCAACACGAGCTTCAGGGCATGAACCTTCTGCGGCTCGAGCTGTGGACGGAAGATGGGGGGTCCGGGAACTGTGCGGTGACAGACCGTGCGGTGACCTCGACATCTCCACAGACCACACCACATGGTCCGTTACCGCACGGTTTGAGGGCCCTGCGAGCCCAAGCGCCCGAGACATCCTCGGAGAACGATCCAAGTACCCAAACCGTGCGGTCACCCCGAATCCCCACGGACTCACCACACGGTGTGGTCACCGCACCGTTTGGGGGCGGCTTCCGAAGAAGGCCGAGTCGATGCAGGGCGCCACGTGGACTGGAGAGTTAAGTTACACACTCAGGGGCGGCGCCTCAAGAAAACTTCCTTTCAGCACAGGGGGTGCACAGGGAGGCGACGGAGCCAGAAGGTTCAGAGCCCTTGGGGAGTCGAGACGGGGTAGCCTCCCAGACCCTCTGGAGTGCCATGCTTCTCGAGAGCACCAGGCGCTCGCCTTTCCCACAGCAAGCCACGCGGTAAGAGTGACTCCCCAACATGCGTCAGACATGCATCGACGGCGATGATTAGGACACGACTCGCTCAAGTATTCTGGAAGTGCTCGGTGCAGCTGTAGAAGCACGACGGCAGGTCAACGCCAACACTCGAACGCTCATCCTGGATGGCCGGGGTGATCGGCGCCGACCCTCAGGTCACATCCCCCCAAACGGGAGCCTGCACCGACAGCACCACCGGCCGCAGCTGCCCAGAGTGCTCCGGCTCGACCGACCTGGGGGCTGAGCTGTTACCGGAGGCCCAGCACGACTGAGGGAGAAGGATGCGATTCTTCCAGCGGCTCCCTCCCGTGCGTGGAGGCCTTCCGGGAGGGGCAGGAGAAAACGGGGGCCCAAGGATCGCACCGCATCGCCGATGCATCGGCGACGTCGGGATGGAGAAATCTGGACTCCGGATCGCGCCGCATCGCCGACGAGGCGCGATCCTCCGACCTCGTCCACCCTGGCCCCGCTGCGGAGGCCTCGGAGGCAAGACAACCTGCGCCTGGCCGTGAACAACCCTTTGGTAAGGTTTCAGCTGGCCACACCTTGGGCCGATGCCCCTGCCGATGTTGACCATCGGGTTCGCCGCGATCCGCTGGGCTGCGTGCCTGGCCGCGCTGTCTGGCTCACGGTCTGCGTGGCGCCTGGGGGTGCTCTCGACCCGCGGCATGCTGTGGAGGGATGCGTCGAGGAGTCCTCGCAGCTGGCCCCTTTGAGCGCACCAGCATGACCACATGGGAGCACCGATCTCAACATTAGGAGGCAACGCCTAGGAGGTCATCGTAAGAGCGATGAGGGACTATTAAGTCCGATTCAGGTGCCGCTTAGCCAGATTGGGCCAGATTGCGCCAAGATGAAGCCAGATGAAACGGGATTCAGCCGGCCTATGCTGGATTAGATTATCGAGCATGGATATACCAGCGCCGACTAACGGTGGGGCATCGGTCCAGGGGCGGTTGGAACCCTTCGGGCTCCCCATCAAAAACCGTTCCCCGATTCGGTCTGGGGACAATCACAACACAAACACACACACACACCACAGCAGGCAAGTCTTCCATGAGCCCCGGAGACACCGTTTCGGGAACCTCGGCCGCACGGGGTCCTCGGCCTCAGGGCGCAACTGTAAGAGGCAGCATGCCCTTCAGCCTGCAGGGGGCGGACAACGGACGGGGAAATCTCATCCCTGCACGGGGTGCTTTCCCGAGAGAAAGAAAAAACTGCAGAAAAATAAACTTTCGACGGTCCGCGCGGAATTCTTGGATCTGCGCTGGACCCCCTCCCTGGCGAGCGGAGCGCGCCAGGGGCGCCGGAGGCGCCGCCGAGGGGAGGGGGTCCAACGCAGATCCACGAAATCCGCACGGACCGTTGGAAAGGTTTTGCTGATGCCGCTCTTCTGCTTCGAGTTCCAGCCGCGCCCAGCCCAGAGCCACCTAACCGGCGCGAATATGCACCCCACTCGGTTATGTGTACGCCTGCCTGCCGAGCGTCACGTCGAGATGGGCTGGCGTCGCCGCGAGCGAGCTCTCCGGCAGGATCTGGCCGGGCCTCGCGTCGGGCCGCGCAGCGCCCGCGGCGCTGAGGGGCGGCGCGGCGCAGCGGTTCTGGTGGGGCCGGCCCGAGGGAAGGGATGGGTGCAGATCTCGGTCTGCGGTCGGCGGCGGAGCGGGCCTGCGATGTATCGGTCGCGCGATCTCGGTATAGTACCGAGCGAGGGGCGGGCGAACTTTCGCAAATCACTTTTCCCAGTGATCTTTAAAACTTCAAGGCTGCCGAAGTAGTTGTTCAACGCTTCCTGAACAAACATATAACATTTTCATGTGTTCAATGTTCCAGGCCTCCCTGACAATTACTTTTCGGGATCTTTCGGGCCGCGGGGCGGACCCTCCGAAAAATATGCTTTCAACGTTTCCAAACAATTTGCGAACGTTCGGCGTCGCCTGCAAAATTACTGTTTCAATTTATTCCAACTTTCTGGAAACTTTCGGACTCTAGCGGGAGAAACTTTTTCAACTTCACCTGTGGCGGTGCCTAATTTTTCCAGAGTCCGATCGTTACGTCTTGGGTTTTCTGCAACTTCCCGCGGCGGCCGAAAATAACTTTCCAGGAACCTGACGAATTAAACGATTCGCGTGGCTCGGCCGGACAAACGACTTGTAACTGGGCGAGTCGAGAAAGGGCCCTCGTCCCCCTATGACGACCTCCGTCGGCCTGGGTAGCGCATTCAGGACACGTGGGTGGACAGGGGGGTAGGATCAAGGTTGAACACGTCCATCCTTGTCACGGGGGGCCTCCAGGCCTGAGGGTCTTCTTCTTCACTGTGCTGGGGGTAAGGGCGGGGGGGGAGCTGGCTGCCCCGTTCCCTCGGATGGGCACAACTTCCCCCTGCCCCGCTTCCCAATTCGAATCTTCCCAAACGTAACATGTATGGTTCAATTCGTATACGTACGCATGTGCATGTGTATACATATATATATATATACATGCATACATTTATGTCTATATCTATATATGGAAGAGAGCGCGTTTCACGGGCGCTCGCCTTGGGAATATTCGGCGGCGCGTTCCCAACCGGGGGGTGGACCCACCCCCCAACACTCGGCGCCGTCGATCAGAACCAGGGGGACTCCCCTCCCCCCTAACCCCCCCTCCCGAACCACCCCCCCCGCCCTCCCAAGGGGGGGGGGGGTCCAAACCGCGCCCCCATCCCCCTCGGCGCCGGCGCTGGCGCCCGCGCTGGCGGCCGCCAGCAGCGCCGACGGCGGGGACGCAGCGACGATGATCAGAGAGAGCCCAGGGGGAGGCGGTATGGGATCCAAACCACCCCCCGTCTCTCCGCGACGGCGCCGGCGCCGGCGCCGGCGCTGGCGCTGGCAGCGGCCAGCAGCGCCGACGGCGTGGACGCAGCGACGATCACCAGAGAGAATCCAGAGGACGCAGAGGGAACACGCAAATCGCCATTTCTAGCCCTTGCCCCCCAGAAGCCACCGAGAGGCCCTGAGGAAGGTCCACGAGGCTTCACACATGCTCATCAGACGCCCCCGAGACCCTTCTGACGAGACCTCAAGACGAATCGTCCATTAGAACTCTGGCCCAAAGCCCGAACACGGTGGCGGGAAGAGCCGAAGCCCACACCACCACCACCAACACCACAAACCACCACACCGCCACCACCATCACGGCCACAACCACCACCACAACAACCACCACCCACCACCACCACAACCACCACCACCACCACAAACCACAAAACCACCACCACCAAAACCGCCACCACCACAGAACCACCAGAACCCACCACAACCCACCACAACCACCACCACCACCACAAAATACCACACCATTACCACCACCATTACCACCACCATCACCACCACCGCCACAACCACAACCATCACCACAACCCACCACCACCACCACAAACCACCACGCCACCACCACCACAACCACCACCACCACCCACCACCCACAATACCATCAGCGCCGCGACCAGCAGCACTGCCACCACCACCAACACCACAGGCCACCACCACCACCACCACCATAAACCACCACACCACCACCACCACAACCGCCACCACCACTACAACCACCACCACCAAAAACCACCACCACCACCAACCCACCACACAATCACCACCACCACAACTCACAACAACCCGCCACCACAACTCACAACAACCCGCCACCACAACCACCACCAACATAATCTACCACACGATCACCACTACTACTACCAGCAGCACAACCCACCACAAACCACCACCACCACTACTACCAGCAGCACAACCCCACCAGCACCACCACAAACCACCACACCACCACCACCGCCACCACCACCCTCCACCAGCACCACCTCCACAAACAACCGCCACCATCACCACCGCCACAAACCACCACACCACAACCATCACCACCACCGCCACCACCACCACCACAACCCACCACCACCACCACCACAACCATCACAAACCACCACCACACCACCACCACACCACGACCACCACCACCCTCCACCACAACCACCACCACAACAAGCAAACCACCACACCACCACCACCACAACCACGACCACCGCCACAACCCACCACCACCACCACCATCACCACACACCACCACACCACCACCAACAACCACCACCACAACCACCACCACCACCACCACCACAACAAACCACCACCACAACAACCACCACCACCGCCACCACCACCACCACAACCCACCACCACCACCACCACAACCACGACCAAAGCCACCACCACCACCATCATCCACCACCGCAACCACCGCGACCACCACCACCTTAACCCACCACGGCCGCAACTACAACAACCACCACCACCACCTTAACCCACCACAACCGGAAGTACAACCACCACCACCACCACCACCACCACCAAAAACCACCGCACCACCACCACCATCGCCATCGCCGCCACCACCACCACAACCCGCCACCACCGCAACCACCACAATCACCACAACCACCGCCACCAATCACACCACCACCACAACCACCACCACCGCCACCACCACCACCACCACCACGGCCCACCACCACGACCACCACCACCACCTCAGAGAGGCGCCAAGGGACGCCCAAGAGGCGCCCAGGAGGCTGCACAAATGCCCTTCAGAGGCCCCCGAGAGCCCTCCGACGAGACCCCAAGAGGCATCCACTAAGACTCTGACACAAGACCAAGGCACGGTGGCGGAGCGTCGTCGTCGCCGTCGTCATCGTCGTCGCCGTCGTCATCGTCGACGCTCCCCGCCGCCGCCGCCCGCCGCCGCAAGCGCCGGCGCCGGCCCAGAAAAGGAAGTCGTCGTCCCCGCCGCCGCCGCCAACCGCCGTCGACGCAGGCGCCAGCCCGAGGAGAGGGAGAGAGGAGAACAAGGGGAAGAGGGGGAAGGGAGGGGGAGGGGTTCCAACCCCCCCCCCCCTCGGCCACTGGAGGGGGGGAGGAGGTCGAACCCCCCCCCCTCCATCCAGGGGGGGTGGCTCCGGTTCCAATCCCCCCCCCTCCAAGCGACCACAAAACGCGCTCTATCATAATATATATATATATATAAAATATAAATATGAATATATCTATATATACATGTATATATACATATATATATGTGTATCGTATGCATATGTGTATATATGTATATATAAATACACATCTGTCATGAGGTGAGCGCAGGACCTGCGCTTCTCGGCGAAAGGCTGGCGAAGTTCCCCAGCAGCTTGCGGAAACATTGTCAAGACTCGGCGAATATAAACAACTGAGGTTACTTATGAAAGCGGCATCTAATGCACACAACAGATTGCACAACCTAGATTGCACACAACATATAGTACGACCTGATTTCCACCACGCACGCTGCACAACATAGATTGCAATACATATCTTGCACAACATAGGTTGCTAGAAACACACAGCTTGGAAACTTGCGGTCCACACTGGCTAACATACGTATTAGATTGACACCACCATGTTTCTACTGACCGTTTACGAACTCCGCGAAACAAGATGCAGGCATGAACGTGCGCGTCATGAGTGTGCGGGCCAGGGCAAATTGACGAATTCCCTGCAGGCGCAGAGAGTCCCGTACAATGTCAGAGATCACACCAAGTGTGCCATGGGGCGGAGCCGCCCAGGGGGGTGCATTCTCAGGTCTCCAAGCGGTGTGGAAAACTGAAAGATCACCAAAATGAATTATTTCATACACGGGGGGGCACCCGCGCATATCCAGGTCGACCTGAACATCTGCAGGTGAAACCTGAAAAGAATCTTCAACGCTTTGCGGAAAATTTGTTCCTGGGAAGGCCCGTTCAGGTCAACCTGAACATTTGAAGGCCCAACCAGCGTCACGCGGTGTAGAAACCTGAAAGCGTCACAGGGGCGTATCACTTCATACACGGGGGAATATCTGAACACTTCCAGGTCGACTTGAACATATTCCGGTTGGACAGGCAAACCACGCTCCTGAGTTATGCGTCCATCGTTGTCCGTTAGGAAAGCCAATGAGGGCCCACCTCGACCTCCTTGTGGGCGGTAGAAAGGTCAGAGGCACGTGAAAGACGAATCCGATGTCCCACAGGTGACAAGGCGCTCGGGGGCCACATTCTGCATCGATGTTCCCACCGCGGCCATTGCCATCGCCATTGCCATCGTAATTACCACCAACACCATCGTCATGACCGCCACCGCTGCATTTCTACAGGACATCCCTGCGTGGTCGAAGATCCAGATGCGAGGATCCACAATCCAGGTTACCGGATCAAGGTCGGAGCTGTGGGACGGAGATTCGACAACCGAGGATCGAGGTCTGGGGGTCGAGGGTCCAGGATCGACGATCGACGATCTTCGAAGTTGGAGGATCGAGGTTCGGGGGCCGAGGATCCAGTATCGAGGATTCAGGCTCGCGAGGGGCAGGCGAGGAGCGATGAGCGAGGATCTGGGATCCAGGTTTGACGATTAAGGGGCGAGGATCGAGGCTCGATGACCCAGGATCGGGCTTCGAAGAGCGAGGAGCAGGTTCGAGGGGCGAAGATCGAGGATTTGGGTTCGAGTATCGAGGGGCAACTGGAGAGCGGGGAGCGAGGATCGATGATCGAAGTTGCATGATCGACGATCGACGACCGCGTATCGAGGTTCCAGTATCCAAGATCGGGAATCTGGGATCAACGACTGACGACGAAGAACGAAGATCGAGGTTCGAGATTCGGGGGTGGAGGATCGACGGTCGAGGACCGACGACTCATGATCCAGGATTGAGGGTCGAGGTTCGAAGATCGAGCTTAAAGGATCGAGGATCGAGGTTCGAGGCGAGAATCCAGGATCGAGGATCGATGTTCGAGGTATGAGAGTCGAGGTTGGGGGGTACTGACCGATGCATCGGCGGCGGGCGATGCGCGAGACGGATCTCTGTCCCCAGAGATGAAGAGATTGGGCCCGCGTGGAATATGGAGCTGATTTCCGGGCGGGGTCCCCAAGCTGGGGCCAGAAGAATCTCCACCGTCGCCTCCGCGAAGGTGGTTGACCCAAATTCGCAAGCATTTGCGTGGGGACGCGACGTATGTCTTTCACAAGCGCGTCATGGGCACGATCGAGGACTTCCTTCGTCCTGCGCGCGGAGTGGTGCGCGCACCAACTTCCGCCGCCGCGGCTTCGCGTTGCTCGCTCGACCCGTCGCAGCCTCGCTCAATGGTTCAACCGTACCCCCCGAACCCGCCCACCCTGCGATCGCCCCCACAGAGAGCGCGAAGCCCTGGTTGAGACAATGCCGTTGATACAGCGATAACATTCGCGATCGCTTCGCCGCCCCCCACCCTCCCCCCGAGTTTTTAACATTGCATTGCCCCCTAGCGGTGTGGTGCGCGCGCCGATTAGCGAAAGGTCTGGCGCGCCTGCGACGGCGCCTGCGATGACATGGCGATATCTGCATCTCATGATTCAACGCGCCGGAGTTGCCCGCGCTTTACCATGAGCGGTGCCTGCGCTGATAGAATATATGCCCGCGGCGCCTGCGTTTACAGCGCGATAGCGACGATTTGCCTGCTCTCTATTGTTTGACGCGCCCGCGGTGCCTGCGCCTGGCCGCGTGCAGCGCCCGCGCAGAGAAATCGACCGATTCTCACGACACCTGTGCTGCCATCTCTATGGCGAGGCGATGCACCATACTGTTTGACGCGCTTGCGGCGCCTGCGCCGAATCATGCGTAGCGCCTGCGCTGATTAAGCGACAGAGCCAGCAGCGCGCGCCATAACGCCGCCACGACGGCGCGATGCTTGCACCCCATGTTTCGACGCGCCTGCGGTGCCTGTGCTCTGTCACGCGCCCGGAGCTTTGGGCACTGGCGGAGGCGGAACACAGCGGTGGTTGGACCGCGCGTCCTCGACGCGACATCGCTGGTCTTGCGCGGATCGGCTCTCAGTGGGGTGTCCCTGCTTAGTCTGGGCACTGAGATGAAATGGGGAAACGCTTGTAATGGTTTTTGATATCATTGGGGCAATAATGATGTAGATAGCTATGTTGGAATATGAACCGACGGATGTAATGGTATATTAGTAGATAGCTGGACAGGTCTACCAGGTGTCCCCATGGTTGTGCCGATGGTTGTCCCGATGGCGGCCCGAATGTATAGATAGAGTAGATAGTGGGATCGCCACACATATTGATAGGGATTTCGGTGTATATATGTACATCTCATTAGAGAGTGCGACCGACAGATAGTGAGACCGATAGGTATACTACGCGTTTGGAAACACGCAGCTCTCGAGGGTGAATCATATACATATATATATATGTGCTATATATCTAAATGTATGGAGACATCTGGACAGGCAATGCTATAGGTGTATATACACATGTGGAAATATAGACATGCATGTTTATGTGTAGATGGTTACATGCCAGTCGACAACAGATGGACACATTCAACTATATGCACACACAGATGTATAGGCAAGCCAGTGAACACCTAGATTAGTGTCCCGATGAAGGTCCACTCGTGACTTTCATGGCGCGTACAATGCAAAACAATGATGACGTCCCCCTTCCACCAACCTCCTCATCACCCCAAGGGCGGTCTAGTTATGAGGTTCGAACAATAGTGAGTGCGAACTAGTCGCGCTGCGTATGTGCCGGCGGGCATGGGTGGCCCTGTACATGGCCGGGTCGGGGCTGGCGTGGGTCTGATTCCGAGCGACTCTGCCCATGGTGTGGACCGCCTGCGCCGGGGTCGCCGCTGCGACAACGCGCCAGGGCCTGCTATTCCGGTAGCCCGCGTCGCCTGCCCGGCGGCGAGGCCCTCCGTGGGCCCGGCAGCGGCGGCGACGGCGGTCCGCCCAGCGGCCGCTGGCGCGGTGCTCGCGAGCGGGTCGGTCGGGCCCGCCAGGCGCCAGCCCGCCTGGGGACCCAGACACTCCTGCGATGCTCGCGCTGCGGGCCGTCCTGGAGCGGAGCCCAGACATGCTCGCGTCATGGCAGAAGCACGGCGGAATGTGCTCTGCCGTTTTCTGCCCCTCTGTAGGGCCCTCGCTGGGCCTCGGGACGGTCAGAAAACTACCCTGGATGGGGAGAGGGTCGGGACTTCCAGGGACCGCGTTTTGGTCAAGTCAAGACATCGCATGCCTGGGAACCATCCTGGCGAGACTCGCTCCGCTCATGCGTCGATGCTGCGCTGGAAGTCGGTCGCTTTCGCTTTGACCCGAGAACCTGAAGCGAAACTGTGTCAAGCTGGACACGATCAGAGCCGAACCAGTTCCGAACTAGAGTCGAACGGATCCGCTGGGTAGGTCCGAGGAAACGCCCAACAACACACTTCTGACGCTCTGCCCCGACCGGCTCCACGCAGAAACGAGACGAATACGACACGGGCATCCATTCGGGTGAGGTCCGTCGTGGATCTCGTAGAGCCGGCGGGTCTGCAGCAGATCGAGTGCGGCGGCCAGTCCCAGAGCGTTACGGGACGCTCCGGACCGAGTTATCCTTGCCCAGTGCCTGCGAGTGGTCCTGGGTACGAGTGACCTTTGCTGCGTGGCTTTTCGACTGTTGCCTGCAATGCGACAGCGGCCTGCGTGCTTGTTCTGGGCATTGTAAATGAGTAGGAGGGGATGGGAATATGAGGTGGAGGAGGAGGAGGAGGAGGAGAGGAGGGAACATCGACCTGCAATCGGTGAAATATCGTCGATGGATCAACGAGAGGAACTCGACAGCGAAACAGCAAATTTCTGGGCGGAGTCAGCTACCATGCCCCCATCCTGACGTTGCCTCTGATCCTCGCCCCGGGGTCACCCCCTGGGGGCCCAGCTTCAATAGGATCGAGAAGAAGGGCTGTGAGGCGAGGAGTGAGGTGATCAGCCTCGACCTTATCCTTATCCCTAAGATTGACAAGTTCAACGGCGATGACTATCTTGGGGATACGCCCTCAGAAATCGAGGGAACCCTTGAGATCTGTATCGAGATAAGGCGATGCCAAACATAGGGATAGGGATAGAAAATTACGCAACGACATCCAATGGGCGGGCCGGGAAGGTGGATCAGTGTGCAGGAGCAGGGAACGAGATATCACTGAGCCAGCGCAGGCATGCTCAGATCCGCAGGCTCACCGATTCCCCTCCCCAGGCTGGGCTTAACTTTCGGGTCCCCCCACCCCCAATTCGTTCAGCCCTGCCCCGGGGGCTTACACAATGGGCACCCATTCTGCCATCTCATGGCGGTGCCCCCTGGCTTTGGGGTCATAACTCGGCTCTCCTGCTGCCGTTCGGCACGACTCGTCTACCCCGGGAAACAAGCTGGACAAAAAACCCGAGGCTGTAAACCCGCGGAGAACGCACGAATATTACCGCAAACCTGAAACCTCGAACCCAAACCTCGCCCTTCTCCTCCTCCCCCATGTGTTCAGCCTTACCCGTGGGTTTGACCAATGGCAACCCATTCTGGAACTCAATAGCGAATCCGTACTGGTGCTCCTCCTCCTCCTCCTCCTCCTCCTCCTCGTTCTCCTGATCTTCTCAAAACGAGGTCCACGGAAGCCCTGATCCTTTCCACGTGGCCGGTTGTTCATCTCGAGCCGTGTTTTGAAGGTCCTGGAGCCTGGCGAGGGCCCCTGGAGTTCCCAAAGTGAGAGAACATAAATCATGATTGTTGCAACAAGCATAGAACTGGCGAAGGAACCGACCATATGCGGGCGTGAGTAACCGCATGAAGCCATAGAGGACCCCCCCGGGGTTCTCATTAGCAGAGCACCGTAATTAAACAATTCTGGGGGGCGTTTTTTCGTCGAACGATATGAGTAACACCGCGCGAATGGAACGACAATAAATAATTTCCGCGCCCCGGCTCGGGTTGTATCTCAATTAGCATTGGATTAAGAATAAAAACAAAGAGTGACATACGAGTAATACTAATTATAAGAATAAGAATGATAATACGACAGAACACGAACATGTTTCGGCGAGCAGGTTCGTCTGCGCTCACATAAAAGATGCGAGGTGCCAGGGTAACGCTTCTGGGGTGCCGGGTGCGTTATACTTTCGCCAGAGAGGGGGGGGTCTTAATTGCTTCTGGCGGTTACTGCAAGGCAGGTGGGACGAGCGAGAGGCAACTCCCTATGCGGCCATGAAAAGTGTGATGAGTGTGCTGGTTCGGATACGGGTACGCCATGTGAACGCAGCCACTGGGGCTTTCGGTGGGGCTCTTTACGGGGCCACGAAGCGTGTGAGGGTTGCGCCGGAGTGGAGGGTGGAATTGCATGCGGATCCTGCCACTGGAGCCTTTGGTGGAGCTCCTGATGGGTCCACGAAGCGTGCGAGAGGTGCACCGAACTGGAAAATGGAACCGCGTGCGGACCCTGCCACTGGGGCCTTCGGTGGAGCTCCCTTCGGGCCCACGAAGCGTGTGAGGGGTGTGGAGACATGGGGGGTGAACTGCACACGGACTCTGCCACTGGGGCCGTTTGTAGAACTCCATACGGCCCCACGAAATGTGTGGGGGGTGCGCCGGGACGGGGGGTGGAAAACTATACGGATCCTTCCACTGGGGCCTTCGATGCTCTTGACGGGGCCACGAAGCGTGTGAGTGGTGCGCCGAACTGGGAGGTGGAACTGCATGAGGACCCTGCCGTTGGAGCGTTTTGTGGAGCTCCTTACGGGGCCACGAAACGTGTGAGGGGTGCGCCGGGACGGGGGGGGAACTGCACGCGGATCCTGCCACTGGGGCCTTCGGTGGAGCTCCTTACGGGCCACGAAACGTGGAAACCGACATGCAGAAAACAAAGGCAGGGATGAGAGGGGGGAGGAAGGGGGGGAGGAAGGAGCAGGAAGGAGTCGGGGAGGCGCTGTTTCTTCAAAGCGAAGACCCAACACCACATAATGGTTTGGAAATCTGACATCACATGTATTTTCATGTTTTTGCACAGCGCGGCGCCCCCCAAGGGCGAGTGAAACCTCGGGCCGGCGCAGCTTTGCAGAGATAGTGATGCTGGTTCAATGCTTCTCGAGCCCCGATGAGCTTCGGAAGGAAACAACTTCTCCAGCGGTCTCAGGCCTCCTCGGGCCTCGCGCACGCCGGGCCCTACTGGGCCCCTACATCACAAGCCCTGCACGGGGGGCCGTGCACTCACTGGTCCCTGCACGCCCCCACGGCGCCTCGGTGCAGGCGTACTCGCCGAGCCCGGCGATGTGGATCTCCTCGCCAGTCGCCTCCAGCTCAGCCATGGCTCGCAGCTGGCAACGCCGCGAACCTCGGGTTCTCGTTCATCCACTTGTACGTGCACGGCGCTTGCGACACATCTTCTCAGCTGTCGTCGGGCCTCCTTTCTCTTCCTCATGATCTCGTCGGCGGTCTGCGCCTGATCACCTTTCCCTTTGCCTTTCGCCATCTCGTTCATATATTTGCTCTTCTTCGCGTTGGCCCACGCACCTTTGCAACGCCATCCGCGCGCAAGGCCAGTCATGAATACCGCCAGCGCGCACAGCATCACGATCATCAGTGCGTTCTCGTCGAACCAGTCGAGAATCGCCGATCCCACCAGGCTGGTGGTTTGCTTCTTCTGGTGGATGTCCAGCTCGCAGATGTTCGCCGAACCCGCAATCGCTCCTTGCGCCAGCAAGGTGGACAGGCCCTGCACTGGCCCAGCTCGTGCTCGTTGTCACCGAGCACGCTTCCAGCTCCTCGTGCTTGTCCATCTCCGCGCAATCCACAACGCCCCCCAGGTCCCGCAAGTACTCGAACCTCGCCACGGGTTGCGCTTTGGCGCCCAGGCCCGCTACGTTTTTCTCGCCGCTCTCCTTCTTCACGTTCAGGCCACGATGCTTCCGCTCCTGCTGATCCGCAGCTCACGAACGCCAAAATGCTTCACCTTGCCGACGCCCACCGCGGTTGATCATGGCCTTCGCGCAGCTACTGTCTACCAACGGCCCGAGGTCATCGTGTAGCCCGGCCACTCCAGCACTATCTTGATGAGCTTGCTGTCCATCACCACTGAGGTCGCCCCGTGGAACTCCGCCTCTCCGGAAGATGTGGTCTGGACTCCCTGGCGCCCTGCGCAAGCTGCGCGCTGCGCCCCGCCCAGCATCGCGATCCCACATGTCATCGCTCTCCTCGTGGTCTTACACGTCGCGAAGTCCGCGTCCGCGCCATTCTGCAACTTCACCTCGCCAGGCTTGCTCACCGCCGGCTTATTGAGCAGCGCTCTGTATGTCTTTATCCCCTTCAAGTACCTCGCTAGCTTCGCCAAGCGCTTCCTGTCGAACTCCGTCGGCTGGCTCGGGCCCCTCGCCAGCAGCTGCACGCCCCTGTTGGCGTCGGCTCTGTCGGGGGAGATGTAGAGCGAGATGCCCGCGGCGCTGCGGCACTTTGCCGTCTCGATCTCGCCCAGCTCTGGACTCCAAGTCGGCTCCTCCTCCGTCAAGCTCAGCACCGTGGCGGGCTTCGCCTTCTCCATGCCCATCATGTGGATCAGGTCCTTGATGCGCTGCACGCTCAAGCGCAGCATCGCGCCCCCGCTCGTGAGTCTCAGCCTGTCGCGCTTCAGGTGAGAGTAGCGCCCCTTCCTGATGACATCCGTCGCCTTCAGGTCGAAGGCCCCCTCAGCCCCACGATGATGCCACCCAGATTATTCGCGCGCCCCTCGCCGTGGAAGTCATCCATGCGAACCTCGATCAGAACCTCCAGCTCCATGCGGCAGTAGAACTGGGGCTGGCACTCGCATCGCCCAACCCACTCGCCTTTCAAAGTCTTCGCCGCCCTATCCACCCAGCCAGCGCCCGCCACGCGCTGTCCTGGTAGCATCTTCTCCAGTGCCCGCGCGACGTCGGTCGGTGTCCCGAACGCCGCCAGGATCACCAGGTACTCAGCAGGTGGCCCCACGCACGCACCATCTCCGTTTGGTCTGCTTTGTAGTAGGCCTTCACGTAGTCCGCAATGAACGTGCCGTGGTTTTCCTCCTTGATGCTGACGAAGTCCACCTGTCGGCTCGTCTGCACTGAGGAGCTCGCTGCGGACGCGCTGCCCCGCGGCCCCGTCCACTTGAACTCCCGCGCCACGCGTCGCCACATGCAAGCCCCTCCTCGCATCTGCGGCTCCCGGCGCGCCTTGATTATCTTGAACTTCCCGCTCTCGCTCCTCGGGATGTCCCTGTGCGCGCCGTAGTGCGCCAGCACCTCCAGCGCCTCCCGATTGCCCTTGAGCCCCGCCGCTGGGCCCAGGCCGCTGGTCGCGACGTAGGCCGCCGCGCCCGCGCTGTCCAGGATGCTGCGGTCGTTCGGGCCGTCCAGCGGGAGCGCTTCCACGCGCCTCGCTCGCATGCCAGGTGAGACGAAGCCTTGGTCATCAGCTGGTCGGGCTTGACCCCGCGGGGTAGCTGGCGCGCCCTCCTCCATCGCAGTTTCCGCCTGCGGCCTTGCTGCAGCTGCAGCTCTTGCTCCAGGCCCTGCCGTTGGCACTGGTTCAGGTTGTCGTGCGTCTCTGCCGCCTGCCGCTGGTTGCGCCCCCTGCTCTGGCGCCCGCTCCTGTTGATCTCCCCCCGGCGCCGCTGCTGCCTCCGCCTCCGCCTTCGCCTTCTGCTCCGCCGCCGTCGGGTCGATCGGGGGCGGGGGCCGCTGCGTTCGCGGCTGCAGCTCGCGCGGATCGGCGCTCCTCGAGCCCCCAGGCAAAGCCGCTACCGCCTTCAGCAACGTCGCGTCGTTCCGCGGCGCGCGCCCCAGCCTCCTGCAGGTCCCAGCGCGACGTCACCTGCTGGTGTCAGGAACAGGCGGTCGTCGCTCTCCTTGTGCTTCCCGATCCAGACGCCCTTCGCGAAGCTCGACTCGCCCTCGCGCTTTAGCGCCGCCGCCGATCTGCCTCGCGTGGGAGGCCGGTACCTTGAAGAGCGCGGTCTCCGCAAATGGTAGGATCTCGCAAGTGCATGTTACTCCGTAGGCTGCCTGATGAGATGTCCCCCCATCGGCTCTCGGTCTGCGCGTTGAAGTCGCCCAGCTCGCGTAGCGCGTCATTCTGCGCTAGATTGGTGCGCCCGCCGTGATCTTCATGCCGCGCGCTTCTCCAAGTCAATCTTGTAGATCCTCACCTTCGCCTGAAACCATCCGATGGGTGCCTCGATGGCGCCCGTGCTCTGACTGCCCTCCCCTGCTTCTCCTCCAGCTTGACGCTCTTGCTCAGCTTCTTCTGCGCTTCTTCCACCATGTTCAATCCGTCTTGACGTCCGCGGTCGCGAGGTTGATTGCCCTCGGCGAAGCCGCTCACCCCCGCCACCGCGTAGTCGGCGACCACTTTTGTCGACGTCGAGAACGCGTTGAACATCGGCGTGCCCCTGTCCGCCATCACGAGCGCCGTCGCGAAGATGCCCGCTGCTGGCAGCTCCTCGTCGCCAACCTCGGCCCAGTCGCCGTTGGTCTTCAGGGGCAGAAGTCCAAGGTGATCTCAGCCTTGCCAGTGTCGTTCTGATCGAAGGTGAGCGTGTTGCGCGGCCTAGTGGTCTCGATGCCGCGCGCCCAGGCCTCGCGCCACTCGGCCCTCGTCAAGCGCAGCAACTCGCGGGCTGCCCTCTTCCCGGGCGTCGGCCCCGCTGGCCCAGCAACTTGCCGCGGTGCGACCACGGGCGCCCCCTGGACGGACTGCTCGAGCCTGCGCTCCAACTCCTTCAGCCTGTCGTGGTGCGCCGTGATTCTTCGCTCCGCGTCTCCGAGCCCGGTCCACAGCTTGTTCTTCGCGCCGTAGATCGGCTCCCCCAACCCCCGCGACCTCGCGCGCATGTCCTCCACGCGACTCTCAGGGTGCAGGGCGATCTCCTGGCCGTCGCGCCGCAGCGCTGGCTTTCGCGCAACCTGCTCGCGTGCCCGATCAACCCCTCGCGCCGCCGTCGCGGCCAGCTGCGCTGGCCCACGTCGGGCCGCCGCCGCTGCAGGTCCGCCGCTGCCGGAAGCCCTGGGCGACGGCGCGAGCTCCTCTTCAGCCTGCTGCTCGTTGGCGAACGCGCTCGCCGCGAACGCCCGCGCCTCCGTCGTCGACTTGAAGGCCTTCGCGTTGAAAACCGGCGCGTGGTTCCGCGCGGCGAGCGGAGCGCCCTCGCTGAGGTCGCCCGGGCGCGCGCGCACGCCCGACTTCGCCTTGTCCATCGCCTCGAGCAGCGAGAAGGTCGGCTTCGACGCCGCGTCGCCAAGCCTGATGTCCGGCTTCAGCAGCTTCGTCTGCTCGCTTTCGCTGTCGACCGCCATCGGCACCGTCGCAATGGAGCCCATTCTGGTCTCCTGCTCCTGCGCGCCCAGCAGTTTCGGGCCGTCGTCTGCCTTCCGGACGCACCCTTCGCCAAACGAGGTCGGGCCCGGGTGGAATGCGCTAGTTGTGTCCAGCGCGACGCAGCCGGTGCCGTCGACGTCCATCGCGCAGCGCTCATTGTCGCAGCTTCTGCCCGCATCGCCGCGCAATAAAGCTAGTCGTCGGCGCAGATCGCGCAATCGTCGTGGGCAGCTCTCTTGGCAACTGTCTTCGGCTCAGTGCCCTCCTGCTCGATCGCCGCATTGTGATTCGCCTTCTCGGCGGCCGCCCGTTCCCGGCAGACCGCTTTCTTGTGGCCCGTTTTGTGTCCGCAGCCGCGCTTCCCAGTGAAACTGCTTTACCTTTGCCCCTGTTGTCCTTGCCGTAACCCACCTTGCCACGCGCATCGCGCCATGCCGTCGCATATGGACTTGCCCTTGTCTCGCGAGTTGCAATCCTTGGACGTGCGGTATGGCTTTGCGCAGATATGGCACTTGTCGTTGTCCCTGCCCTTGGCACCTTCCGCGATCGCATCGACGCCCATGTCGTCTTTGCCTCTGCTTGCCGTCGCCGTCGGCGGCTTTGTATTCACGCCACTCTGGCCGATCACCGCCTCGAAGATGCAGCTCCTCATCTGCGCGATGTCGCTCCGCGCGCCCCTCTGCGCCGACCGCAGCGTGGCCTTCGCGTCGTCGGGAGCGCGCGCCATGATCGCGCTCGTCATCATGTCCTGCGTGACCTCCTCGCCCATGGCGCGCTCGCAGCGCGAGATCAGCTCGTCGCGCTCCTTGCCCTCGCGCTCCTTCCGCCAGAACGGCGTCAGGATCTGCTGGAGCATCTGACCGTGCTCCTCGTTCACGCGTGGCCTGCACTCGCCGTGCAACCTCCGCGTCGCCTCGAAGCCATCGCCCCGCGGACACAACTTTACGATGCTCTGCGCCGTGCCCTTCGTGGTGTTCGCCCGCAGGTGGCGCAAGCTCCTGCCGACCTGCACGCCCTGCTCACCCAGATCCTCTTGTCTGAGTGTTTCCGTCGCGTCCCTGACCATCTCCGAGCCCGCGGTCCAATCAATCAAGCAAACCGCAATAGCTCTCGAACGGGAAGATCCAATCCTCGAAGCCCTTCCGCTTGACAGAGACGGTCGGCACCTTTCCAACTCCATGGGAATCAAGCAGCTGCACCCCTGCAGCCGCGCCATCAGCCGCCATGCCGCACTGGCGGCACTAGCTTCTTAGGGAACGTTCAGTAAACCACAGCATGTCACCATGAAGCGCATATGATGCTGGCTCGATGTATCTCGAGCCCCGATGAACTTCGGAGGGAGACCCGCTCTCCCACGCTCTCGGGCCTCCCCGGGCCTCGCGCACGCTGGGCCATCCTGGGCCCCTACATCACAGGCCCTGCACAGGGGGCCGTACACTCACTGGTCCAAACAAGCTTGGCGGCGCTCGCGCTCTATGCGGCTCGAGGGCGACTCCAGCACATTGAAACGGCCGATATGCGCCGCAACACCCAGCAAACCGATTTGTTGAAGACAGCGCCTGCAAAAAAAAACAAAAGAAACAATGATATCCATAACTGCGAACATATATACATACATACATGTACATACATACATACATATCTTGGTGTATATATATATATAGATATGTGCGCATACGTACGTACACACACCTATATATATATATGAGTATATTGCGAACTACACATCTATATCTCTATACACATATGTTTATCACACACACCTCTCCGATAAAGTAGGACTCGGAGGCGATTACTTCAACGTCCCGCCTCGTCCGAAAATTGTTTGTCCATTTCGCTCGGGACATCCTCAACGTTCTGAAAATCATCGGCATCCCTTACGCAGATCGCGACGTCAGGGTCCCTCGCGGCACAACCTTTTCCCAATGATTTTACCACGCAGTCGTCAAACAACAACGGAGTTTAACTATTGTGCCCAACTATTAAAACTTGTACTTTCGCTTAAGACATCCTCCGGTAGTCGAGCCCCTTTTTCACAATACGTTTCTTGAAAGAACACTGGGGCCTGAGACATCCTCCCAACATCGAGCCCTGACGTACAACACACCCATTCAACACCGAACACACACACACTTTTTCCAGTCGGCGGCGAGGCAGAGGCGGTCCGCTCCAGCGTGTGGCAATTCGGGGCAACCGAATGGCAAATTGGCGGGCATGCAAGCCACACACACACACCACACACACACACAAAATACATCACACACAACACATAGAACACACCCACACAACACCTCTAGCACATAGAACATACAGAGACCACACACATACACACGAACGCACGCACGCACGCACGCACGCACACACAATACAGACAACACAAACAACACCCACATAGCGCGCTGAACACACAACAAACCGAACACAAATAAAAAACTGAACACACATGGCCCACACTTAACTCACACAACACACAACACATACGCACACACAACACACACACATAACACAAACCTTACGCACACACCACACACCATGCAAATGTCTTTGTACAAGCCTTGGCACGCACATGACACTTGTATGTTGTTTTGGCCCATTTATTCAAGGCGTTGGATATCTCGTCGTCGTCGTCGGCGGCGGCGGCAACGTCGGCGATCGCGTCGTCATCATCGTGGGCGTCGTCGTCGTCGTCGCCTCCGCTCCTCGGCCTATCGCCCGATCGCGGCAACGCGCGGGGCTGTTGGACCCTCCGCCGAGGCCCGCCTCGGGCGCCCCGCCCGGCCGCCTGGCCGGGAAGTGCACCGTGGCGCCGAGGGCGCCGCCGGGGCCCCGCCGCGTGGGCTCGGAGGTCCCGAGCCACTCGGTCAGCGCCTGTGCCGCGAGAGTCGTATAGGGGAAAACAAGCCTACCCCGCTTTTGACCACCCTCGCTTCCAAGAGATACCAAGCGATGCCAAACTACGGCCTGTACTGGTCGGGCCGCTTGACGGGGAGGCGCGTGGTATGTATGATTTGGTTTTTCCTGGAAGCGAAATCGGGGTAGGTAATTCACGCTCTGATCGTAGGTAGTCGACGATGGACCTCATGTTACCCATCGCTCCTGGGCTGTCTTCGGCGGTCTTGTGGCGGTCTTCGGCGAGTTTCTTTTCGGCGGTCTTCGTCGGCTTGCGCCGATTTCCTGCGAAGTTCGGCGCGAAAGCTGCATAACTGCGGTTAACACGGGGATCCATGATCGAACATCTGAAGAGCATTCTCGTATACATAGCTAAACATATGTATATATATATATATATATATATGTTCAGAGATGAAGCGTCTTGACCAAAAAACAAGACCGAGGTTTTTCGTAGGTTTCGGCCTCTGGGAGGCCCTCGCCAAGCCTCGGGGTCGTCAAACAACGCCTCGGAGACTTGGGCCCTTGGGAATGAGTCGGGTCTTCTGGGGACCGCGCATAGGAAAAATCAAGACGTTGCACGTCTGGGTACGAGGACTCCCTCCGACGAGCTTTTCCTGCGGCTTCAGGGCAAGGTGGTAGTGCATAAAAGACGCTGGCTCCTTCATTGTGATCTATACGCCACCACCCTCCCCCGAGGCCCCGGAGCCATCAACTGAGGGGGGGTCTGCGTGGACACATTTGTGACGGACCGCCTTGCACATCGTCGTCTCGCCCCACACCCGCGACCTCTCAGGGGCGAGGGGGAGCAGCGGCGGCCAGGTGGGTCGGGGGGGCGTTCGTTGGGTGGGGGAGGAGCCAAACCTCTGAGAAGCCGAGGGGGCTGGGGCCTCCAGAGGGCTTCCCGGAGGGTGGTGCGGGGGAGGGGCTCCTGCCCAGACATCCACCGTCTGGAACAAAGGGGAGGGGGTTGTCGTTCTCGGCCTATCGGGGCCTCAGCGGGCCCTGCGGCCGTCAAAGAACGGCTCGGGGCGCCCTGACCCATCTGCTCCTCCAGCTGCTGCTGACTCCTCCCTCCCCAAATGTCTCCAGGGGTCTCAGAAGGTCTCTGCAGTAGCCTCCGCAGTGCCCGAAGGCCTCCGGAGACCCAGCGAAGACCAAAAAAGTCTGAATGTCTCCCTACATGCGTGTGTTGTTTTCTTGAACGAACCGGCTCGTTGTGCTGGTCCTAGCGGGGCCCTCGCCGGGCCCAGCGACAGTCAGAAAACGACTCGCAAGATGAATCGTCAGCCCCCTGTGGCTGGGACCTCCAGAGGCCCCTCATTTAGAAAAACAATGACAATCGGATGTCTGGCTAAGGGAGCCCCGCCGCCTACGCCCCACCCCCTTCTGCACGGCTCGGCACGCCCGAAATTGGAACGGACAAAAACTGGGACGATGCCTGGCAGCAAATATTAGTCAACGGCGATGAAAAAGAGCGGCGTTTGCCCCAATGAACGACGCCCGCGGCGAGATTGACACGGAGTCTTGCTCACAGCTTGCAAGAAGTGCTGCTGGTTTTCATCCCCGTCACATCCGCCCCCGCTATGAAAACACCCAACGGCCCCTTTTCGGCCGAAGCCGGAAGGCAAGCAGCGGATCCGGAGCTGGCGGACAGCAGGGCTTTGGCGGGCCTGGGAGGTGAGGGGGAACGACAGGGGGGGGACCAACTCTGGTGGGGGGAACAGCGAGCCGTCATCAGCGAATAGCGCCGATAGATCGGCGACAGGCCCCGATAGCGAAGCCGCACGTTCCTTAGCGGGGTTTGGTCTATGGTGGCCCTATCGGCGATCAATGGGCGATCGGGGGTCGATGCACACCCTGCTGGGCCCATGCCCACCTAACGTTGCCCCTTTGGGGAGCGCGCCTCATGTTCGAACCGTCCTCGTCGCCCACCCCCTTCGCCGCAGCCCCCGCGGCCCCTCGGCCTCCTCGTCCTGCCTGCGAGGCCCCCCCCATCGCTTCGTGAACAGACATTCGAGCCTGAAGCTGTTCAACGCTTTCGGCCTCTGGGGGCCCTCCGGGGCCGTCAAAATCCGATCCGCGGATCGAGTCATCCTGACGATGTGGTCAATAATGCAAAGACGCGAGTGCCGCGAGGCAAGCGAGGAGAAGGATGGGGGCAAACAATATGACGGATTAGCGCGCATACCTTGGCGGGTCGGCGCCATGCGGGCACCGCCACGCGGACCCTGGCACTGCGGTCCTCGGCGGAGCCCCATTGAGGGGCAACGAAGCGCGCGAGAAGCGTGCCGAATTGGGAGCGGGTGCGCCATGCGAGCCGTGTTTGTTGCTGGGGCGTTTGGTGGCGCCTCCTCCGTGGCCGCGAAGCGTGTGGGTGGGGGGGGGGGCGGGGGGGGGGGGGGGCGGAATGTGGCCTTTGGCATGTGGGCCTTGTTGGAGCTCCCCATGGGGCCACCAAGCGCGTGATGGGTGTGCGGCAATGAGGCGGCGCCGCCATGCGGCCATTGGCATGCGCACCTTTTTTTTTTGAGCTCCCCATGGGGCTACAAAACGTGTGACGGATGTGCGGAAATGAGGCGGCGCCGCCATGCGGCCTTTGGCGTGTGGGCCTTCGTTGCTATTGGGCCACGAAGCGCGTGAGGGATGTGCCGAGATGGGGCGGCGCCGCCATGCGGCCTTTGGAACTTGGGCCTTCGATGGGGCTCCCCAGAAATGAAGGAGGGGTGTGCCGAAATGAACATGCGGAGAGCAGCAGCAGCAGCAGAAGCACAAAGAGGGAATGTGGAGCAGGGGGCAGCTGGAGGAGGACGCGGGGTGCTGCCTCTTGAAACCGAGGACTCAGCACCACAGGATGGTTGGGAGCGAAGACATGTCGGAGATTGTCTGAACAAAAAACAGATCAGAAGGTGCTCGTCGATTTTGGCCTCCCAGTGCTCTCCCCCTGAGGCCATCAACACATGATCCGCGGGGCGAAAGACCGGCCCCCCAAAGTATGCTATAGGGGACCTGGGACCCCGTACACGAAACCAGGGCCCCCGACGTCGCGATCCTGCTCGCAGAATGGACCCACGGAGGCCCCGACCTCTTCCCGAAGACAGGCGTTTCGGCCCGACCAGACGTGTTGACAGCCCAAGGCCCAGTATAACTCAGAACCTCCCACCGTGTGTGCTCACAACGCTCCTGTCCAAGGCGTACCTTTTCCTCTGCAAGCTCTTCGGCACCGCCTGCACCCCGCACCCTCCGGCCGCCTGAGGCCCCCCCCGCCCGCGCCCTGTCTCCCCAATTAGTGCTTTGCGCGCCCCGCCTAGCTCTTAACCGGAAGAGGCCCGCTCTCGACCCGCAGACCAGAAAGTGTTCACGACGCGAACGCCAGCACTCAGTGCCTTTTTTTTGTCGACGCGGGGTCGCCGAGAATCGCGACCCCCGGGGCCAGCTCATCGTCCCGAGTCTTCCTGTGGCGGCCCCAGGGCCGAGCGAGCGCACCAGGCCGAGAACGACCAGCGCCCACTGATTATCGCTTGTGGTTCAAGGTGTTCCTCCTCCTCCTCCTCCTCCTCCTCCTCCTCCTCCTGGGCAGGTGCCCCCCCTCCCATCTTCCAGGAGACCCTTCATGGAAGGTGTCTGGGCCGGCCTACCTCCTCCCTGGCCTGTCTCCTCCCCAGACATCCGACGTCCTGAACGTTCAAGCAACATGACTCCCCAGAGGTCGCGACCCTTCCCTGGGCCAAGTTTTTCATCCAGGGTTGTTCTTTAACGGTCCTAAGGGCCAAACAGGGCCTCCATAGGCGGAAAACTGCCGAAAACCTTCCGTCGTGATTTTGTCACGACGCGAGGATGGGTTCTCCTCCCCCTCCTGCTCAGCCTGACATCCGCCGCTGTGATGTGTGTTCAATGCGCGGCCAGTGCGTCGTCCCAGACCCCTTCCCCTTCCCCGCATGGTCAGTTCTCGCCCCCTAGCCCGCGGGGCCCGTTTTTCGTTCCGGACCCATGTCTCTCCCTGTCCCCAGGCCCAAGAGCTGGCCCTGGAGGCCGAGATCGAGGAGAAACGCCCAGAAAGAAACAAACAGATCGTCGGGGATCCGCGGCGCTCGGTCTCCGCCACCGCCGCCCCCCGCCACCGCCCGTGGGCTGTGCGCGGGCGGCCGTGCGCTGCGCCGCTGAGCGCGCTGCTCCGCTCCTCTGAGCGGCCGAGGCCAGGGGCGGGCGCGCGCGCCCGGCCGTCCGCTTCTTGGATGATCCAGCTCCAGTTCCTCTCCTCCTCCTCCCCCTCCTCCTCCATTCCTTTTCCTTCTACATAGCTTGCCCCTCTCGCACCCCGAGGCCTGTTTGTAAGGCGGGCCGGGCGTTTCGCCTGAGACTTCCTCACCACACCACTTAACCCTGAAGCTTAAACATTGGCAACAGCTTCACAGATGGAGGGGCGGGTGGTGTTCAAAATTAGACTCTCGCTTTAGCGCCGTGCACGTTCGCCTTACACATTCGAAAGAGTTTCACAGATTGAGGGCGGGTGGTTTTCAAAATGTGGCTCTCGCCTTAGCAGCGCGCACATTCGCATTCAATATGTGCAAGATTCTCACACATTAGAAGCGGGTGGTTTTCAACATTTGCCTTCGCCTCAGCGCCGTGCACACTCGTTTTAGACATTTGCCGAAGTTTCACGAATTGAGGGCGGGTCGTTGTCAAAATGTGTTTCTCGCCTTAGCGCCGCGCACATTAGTTGCTTATATTTGCAAGAGCTTCATGGATTGAGGGCGGCTCCTTTTTAAAATGTGGTTCTCGCCTTAGCGTCGCGCATATTCTTTGTTAAACTTTGCAAGGGTTTCACGGACTCACAGTGATCAGCTCGCCCTCATAATCCACAATTTGTGGATTATGAGGGCACAACAAATACGTTGATTCGCGGAGTTGAAGTCCCAGGAGTGGCGCTCTGGCACGATTCAGGACCGTCAAGACGTAACAGTCAGATTGATCCGTGGCGTAGGAGTCCTGGGAATTATGCTTTGACATGCTTCAGGGTCTTCAAACGGTTGTCTTCCAACGAAGCAGTTCGCTCAGTGGGAATGAACCGTTATAGTGGCTTATGAAGAGGAAGCGTGGAGGGAGGGTTTATCTTAACATCGTTGATGACTCTTTGGTTTACACTGGTCCTCCTCCTCCTCCTCCTCCTCCTCCTCCTCCTCCTCCTCCTCCTCCTCCTCCTCCTCCTCTTGCGAGGAGCCGCGGGCAGGCGACCTCTGGAGCCCGTCCGCCACGTCCACGTCCCGGGCCTGGGCGCCCGGAGCTTCGGCCCCCGCCAGAGCGGCGGAGGGCGCGAGGGCCGCCTCGGCGTCGCAGAAACGGCGCAGCGCCTGCGGTCGGGAGGGAGCGCGGGCGCGGGGAGTGCTCTCCGCGCGGGCGGGGGGCCTCCAGGGAGCCGAACCCAGACATGCTCGCGTCGTGACCAAAAAATCACGCGACGGACATCGTCCCGTCGCTTTCGGCCTCTGGGGGCCCTCGCTGGGCCTCGGGGCCGTCGAAAAATGGCCCCGAGGTTGAAGAGCCGGCCCTGGGGGAAAGGGCAAGCGGCCCAATATTGCAACCGTCGAACAATCCTTGACTTGGGTCGAACTTGACCCGACCTTTCCTAAGGCTGGAATTGGGCCAGAGTCGAACTAGGCTCGAACAAATCAGCCACGTGGGCCCCGGAAAGGCATCCAAACGAACATCGCATCAGCATGTTACTTTTGAGGGGGCAAGGGGTCGAGTAGCAAGCACCGTTGAAAGACTGCGCGCGTGCCACTGATGCTCTAAACCCTCCCTAACCCCTCGCGCCGAGAAACAAATCGCGACGGAAGGTGTCTGCTACGTGGGCGGGCTCTGATTTCCAAGTACAGCGGTACGTGTGCCGAAAAATACATGCGCGAATCATGTTATGCGTCGGCTTATATGCAGATCCAGCCCGCTTGCGCATTATAACTGTTGTACATACACGCCTATTGGAAGTCGTTCTACATGCGTAAGCTTATGCATCGCGGATGCATGGTATATTTTGTGAACAACGTACGTCGTGCCACATGCGTTTGGCTTGCAGTGCTGAATCCATGTAGCCCCACTGAACTTCGAATGTAATGCCATCCAGCTTTTCATGTAACGTGCATTCAGCTTGCACTTAGCTCATGTAGATCAGGTCAGCGTTTCGTCTATTATGAATTCGTGTCAGGCTTACCTTGGGCATCCGTTGTCCACTTGAATGCGCGTCGGGGCGGGTGGCATTCATAACAGGTAAGCATGAGTACTTAATGTGTAGTTGCTGTTGCGTAGAATTCTAAGGCGGCTTGCGCACAGATGTCTCGCCATGTCGATACAACTTACATGTAAATGCGCGCCCGACCATTCCCCACACCTCGGACCAGTTTTTTTTGGGGGGGGGCAGGCCAATCCCCGTTCCATGTTCAATGCTCCTCCTCCTCCTCCCGTTCCCTTCCTCCCCCCTCCGCCTCGCCTTCATCATTCTTTCCTCCTTCCTTCCTTCCCTCCTCTTCCTGCCTCCTCCCTCGCTCCTCTCCCTCCCTCCCTGCTCCCTCCCTCCCTCCTCCCTCCCAGATGGCGCCGTGGGCCCCCCGAAACCCGCGCCTTTCAGTGAGCCTTGGGCCCTAATTGCTTCGCCGCTCTAGTCGCCGAACCATGCTCCCCCGAACCGTTTTTTGGGGCAGCCGGGGGAAGCCCAGGAGGCTCCGGAGGGGTGGTCTGGGGTCAGACTTGGGACGTTTGGGGGGCCTCGTGGGCCTTCTTGGGGAGATGCTTGGGGCCTCTCGGTCCGCCGTGGACGCGGCGCAGCTCAAAACAATCGAGCATGCTAGAAGTGCACGTTTTCTTTGAAGGCATCCACCGATTTGGGCCTCCTGGGGCACTCCGCGGGAGTCTCTTGAAGGGTCTTGGGATATATGGTCCAGGGCTTGCCCCCCCCCCCCAATGCTGATGCCATTGGCCCCCCCCCCGCGCGATGGTCCCCCCCGCCCCCCCCTGTGGGCGTGGCGTGGTGCTGCGCTGCGGTGCCCCCCCCCCCCCCTGTGGATGTGGTGTGGTGCTGTGGTGGTTCAGAGGTGGGCGTGGCGTGGTGCTGCGCTGCGGTGCCCCCCTCCCCCCCCCTGTGGATGTGGTGTGGTGCTGTGGTGGTTCAGAGGTCGTCGTCGTCGTCGTCGTCGTCGTCGTCCTCGTCGTCCTCGTCGTCGTCGTCGTCGTCGTCGTCGTCGTCGTCGTCGTCGTCGTCGTCGTCGTCGTCGTCGTCGTCGTCGTCATCGTCGTCGTCGCCGTCGTCATCGTCGTCATCGTCGTCGTCGCCGCCGCCGCCGGCGTCGTCGCCGCCGCAGCCGTCGTCGTCGTCGTCGTCGTGGTCGTCGTCGTCGTCGTCGCCGTCGTCGCAGTCGTCGCCGTTGTCGTCGTCGTCGTCGTCGTCGTCGTCGTCGTCGTCGTCGTCGTCGTCGTCGTCGTCATCTCTGGGACCATGCCATCTGGGGGGGGGGGCCGAGGCATCCTGGGACCATACCATCTGGGGGGGGGGGGGCCGGTAGGCCCGGAGCCCGGGACCATATATCTGGGGTCTCTCAGGCGTCTTGAGGCAATCTTGGACCGTCTCGGGGGGCTCTCTCGGCCATCCTGAGGTTTCTTGGAGGCCTGTGGGCCTGTTTGGAAAGAAAATATAATGGTCTCGGCGCGCCCTCGGGCGATCTCGGAGCTGTCTTGGGCGGTCTGGGAGCGTTGGTGGACCCCCGGGCCTCCCATTCGGGGAATGAGGCTTGGTCCCCCAAGGGGCATGGAACCCATGCCTTTTTTTTACTTATTCATGTGTATATGTACGTATACATTCATACATATATATATATATACGTGTATACATATATATATATATATATATATATACATATATTCCCACGCAAAGATAAACATGCGTGGCTATGAATTAATATGTTTACACCATTATGCTATAAGCGTGTATGTCTGTACGTGTATATGCGTGTACGCGCGCTCGCACACGCAATGATCTTCTCGGACTCTGGGGAGGCCCTTGCTGGGCTCCAGGGCTTTCAAAAGACGGCTCAGGACGAAGAACCGGTCCCAGGCAAGTGGTCGGAACTTGCGGGAACCCTGTATTGACAAAAGGGCATCGGATCTCCCCAGATCGACATGCGACGATTTGTTATTTCCCAACCCTCCTTGGTTGGGTATTCGTTTTGAATAGAGGGGTGTGGTCGCGTCCTCCTTCTCCCGCCCCCCCTGTGGTCGCCGTCCCTGGGGGGCTGCGACCTGCGGGGGCTGCGATCTGCGAAGCTGTCGCCACTTTCGAGGGCTGCTGGGGAGGCCAGCTGAGAGGGCACTCACCGCGGATCCAAACGGGACCTCGCCGCCCCTGGGGGGCTGCGATCTGTGAAACTGTCGCCACTTTCGAGGGCTGCTGGGGAGGCCAGCAGAGAGGGCACTCACCGCGGATCCAAACGGGCCCTCGCCGTCCCTGGGGGGCTGCGATCTGTGAAACTGTCGCCACTTTCGAGGGCTGCTGGGGAGGCCAGCAGAGAGGGTACTCACCGCGGATCCAAACAGGACCTCGCCGTCCCTGGGGGGCTGCGATCTGTGAAACTGTCGCCACTTTCGAGGGCTGCTGGGGAGGCCAGCAAAGAGGGCATTCACCGCGGATCCAAACGGGACCTCGCCGTCCCTGGGGGGCTGCGATCTGCGAAACTCTCGCCACTTTCGAGGGCTGCTGGGGAGGCCAGCGGAGAGGGCACTCACCGCGGATCCAAACGGGACCTCGCCGTCCCTGGGGGGCTGCGATCCGCGAAACCGTCGCCACTTTCGAGGGCTGCTGGGGAGGCCACCAGAGAGGGCACGCACCGCGGATCCAAACGGGACCTCGCCGTCCCTGGGGGGCTGCGATCTGTGAAACTGCCGCCACTTTCGAGGGCTGCTGGGGAGGCCAACAGAGAGGGTACTCACCGCGGATCCAAACGGGACCTCGCCGTCCCTGGGGGGCTGCGATCTGCGAAACTGTCGCCACTTTCGAGGGCTGCTGGGGAGGCCAGCAGAGAGGGAGGGCACTCACCGCGGATCCAAACGGAACCTCGCCGTCCCTGGGGGGCTGCGATCTGCGAAACTGTCGCCACTTTCGAGGGCTGCTGGGGAGGCCAGCTGAGAGGGCACTCACCGCGGATCCAAAAGGGACCTCGCCGTCCGTGGGGGGCTGCGATCTGTGAAACTGTCGCCACTTTCGAGGGCTGCTGGGGAGGCCAGCAGAGAGGGTACTCACCGCGGACCTGAGCGGGACCTCGCCGTCCCTGGGGGGCTGCGATCTGCGAAACTGTCGCCACTTTCTAGGGCTGCTGGGGAGGCCAGCAGAGAGGGCACTCACTGCGGATCCAAACGGTACCTCGCCGCCCCTGGGGGGCTGCGATCTGTGAAACTGTCGCCACTTTCGAGGGCTGCTGGGGAGGCCAGCAGAGAGAGCAGCCACCGCGGATCCAAACGGGACCTCGCCGTCCCTGGGGGGCTGCGATCTGCGAAACTGTCGCCACGTTCGAGGGCTGCTGGGGAGGCCAGCAGAGAGGGCACTCACCGCGGATCCAAACGGGACCTCGCCGTCCCTGGGGCGCTGCGATCTGCGACACTGTCGCCACTTTCGAGGGCTGCTGGGGAGACCAGCAGAGAGGGCACTCACCGCGGATCCAAACAGGACCTCGCCATCCCTGGGGGGCTGCCATCTGCGAAACTGTCGCCACTTTCGAGGGCTGCTGGGGAGGCCAGCAGAGAGGGTACTCACCGCGGATCCAAACAGGACCTCGCCGTGCCTGGGGGGCTGCGATCTGCAAAACTGTCGCCACTTTCGAAGGCTGCTGGTGGGTCCAGCGGAGTGATGCACCGCGCGGGCCTGAGCGGGACCTCGCCGTCCCTGGGGAGCTGCGATCTGCGAAACTGTGGCCACGTTCGAGGGCTGCTGGCGGGTCCTGCGGGGTGAAGCACCGCGCGGACCTGAGCGGGACCTCGCCGTCCCTCGGGGGCTGCGATCTGTTAAACTGTCGCCACTTTCGAGGGCTGCTGGTGGGTCCTGCGGAGTGAGGCACCGCGCGGACATGAGCGGGACCTCGCCGTCCCTGGGGGGCTGCGATCTGCGAAACTCTCGCCACTTTCGAGGGCGGCTGGTGGGTCCTGCGGAGTGAGGCACCGCGCGGACCTGAGCCGGACCTCGCCGTGCCTGGGGGGCTGCGATCTGCAAAACTGTCGCCACTTTCGAAGGCTGCTGGTGGGTCCAGCGGAGTGAAGCACCGCGCGGGCCTGAGCGGGACCTCGCCGTCCCTGGGGGGCTGCGATCTGCGAAGCTGTCGCCACGTTCGAGGGCTGCTGGTGGGTCCTGCGGACTGAGGCGCCGCGCGGACCTGAGCGGGACCTCGCCGTCCCTGGGGGGCTGCGATCTGCGAAATTGTCGCCACTTTCGAGGGCTGCTGGTGGGTCCTGCGGAATGAGGCACCGCGCGGACCTGAGCGGGACCTCGCCGTCCCTGGGGGCTGCGATCTGCGAAACTGTCGCCACTTTCGAGGGCTGCTGGTGGGTCCTGCGGAGTGAGGCACCGCGCGGACCTGAGCGGGACCTCGCCGTCCCTGGGGGGCGCGCGATCTGCGAAACTGTCGCCACTTTCGAGGGCTGCTGGTGGGTCCTGCGGAGTGAAGCACCGCGCGGACCTGAGCGGGACCTCGCCGTCCCTGGGGGGCTGCGATCTGCGAAACCGTCGCCACTTTCGAGGGCTGCTGGTGGGTCCTGCGGAGTGAGGCACCGCGCGGATCTGAGCGGGACCTCGCCGTCCCTGGGGGGCTGCGATCTGCGAAACTGTCGCCACTTCGAGTGCTGCTGGTGGGTCCTTTGGAATGAGGCACCGCGCGGACCTGAGCGGGACCTCGCCGTCCCTGGGGGGCTGCGATCTGCGAAACTGTCGCCACGTTCGAAAGGTGCTGGTGGGCCCAGCGGAATGAAGCACCGCGCAGATGAGCGGGACCTCGCCGCGTCCCTGAGAGGCTGCGATCTGCGAAGCTGTCGCCACTTTCGAGGGCTGCTGGTGGGTCCTGCGGAGTGAGGCACCGCGCGGGCCTGAGCGGGACCTCGCCGTCCCTGGGGGGGCTGCGATCTGCGAAACTGTCGCCACTTTCGAGGGCGGCTGGTGGGTCCTGCAGAATGAGGCACCGCGCGGATCTGAGCGGGACCTCGCCGCGTCCCTGGGGGGCTGCGATCTGCGAAACTGTCGCCACTTTCGAGGGCTGCTGGTGGGTCCTGCGAAATGAGGCACCGCGCGGACCTGAGCGGGACCTCGCCGTCCCTGGGGGGCTGCGATCTGCGAAACTGTCGCCACTTTCGAGGGCTGCTGGTGGGTCCTGCGAAATGAGGCACCGCGCGGATCTGAGCGGGACCTCGCCGTCCCTGGGGGGCTGCGATCTGCGAAACTGTCGCCACTTTCGAGGGCTGCTGGTGGGTCCTGCGAAGTGAGGCACCGCGCGGACCTGAGCGGGACCTCGCCGTCCCTAGGGGGCTGCGAGCCTCACGAATGCCGCTCGCAGAAGTATATGCGCCCATGTCACGTCATCACCTCCGTATAACGACTCCCAATCTACTCATGCCCCGCATTGCGCAGGGGTTGGGTACGTCGCCAGGGTAATTTTCATACGCGGCCCCTGGAAGTCCCAATCCTTTCTGCAGGGCTGGCTCTTCAAACCAAATCGATGTTTGACTGCCCCGAGGCCCGGCGAGGGACCTCGGATGCCCGAAACAACCAAAAACCTTCCATCTTTATTTTTCACGTCATGAGCATGTCGGGCGTCCAAAATGCAATCGGCTTCGATCTACATCTGGATGCATGTCTAAACCACACCAAGGACAATCCGAAGAGTTACTGGTGCGTAACATGTACAGGCAGCGCGCTGGCAGGATGACCAATGAAGATATCATTATGTTCTGCTCTCTACTCTATACCGACAGTTCTCGATGATCTACGACTCTGTACTCTCAATCCTCCCCCTCTACATGTGACATGACATACAACCCACGACTCTCCGCTCTCTATCCTCTATCGTGTACACTCGCAGATCCGCTCTCGGTTCTTTTCTTTATGCACTCTGCATTCTGCAATATGCTCCATGCTCTAGCCTCTACTCTCCGCTATCTTCTCTCTGCCCTGTGTCGCACTAATCGTTCAGCCTTTGCTTATATATTTCTATCCCTCTCTTTTTTCCGCATCTCTACTCTCTATTTTCTCCATGATGCCTGCTATCTCGAATTTCTGTGCTCTATACTCTGGGAACCCTGAGACCCCGCGGCCCACCAAAATTTAGGAACCGGGGGACCCGGCCGCTCACCGATTTCGGCTGGAATCTTCGGCCAAATGCGCATCCCTTCAATCAGGGCGAGCACGGACTGGGGAATTGCAACTTTCCCCAAAACAAGACATGCGATGACATATCAGTTTCAAGATGCGGTCCACGGATGTCCAGACCCTTTCCCCAGGGCCCGATGTTCATCCCGAGTCGTTTCTTGACGGTCCTGGGGTCCGACGAGGGTCCCTAGATGCATAACACAACTACCGATAACTTTCTGTCGTGAGTCTTGCGTGACGCGAGCACGTCTGGGTTACTCAGTAGCACGCATGCTCAATCATTAAAGATTCAGAAAGCCCCAAAAGGCCGGGCCGAGCTGGGATGACGACACGGCGTTTTCCGGCCGCGCCCGCTCCTGCGCCTCCCGCGCCTGCTCTGCCAAAGTTCCTCAGGTGGCACTGGAAACAGCAGGGCCGTCTTCTCTCACCTTCTCGTTCTTACTGGGGCGCCTCCGCCTCACTCACTCGCTCCCGCCTCCTTCTCCTTCCCAACATACTCAGACCACACATGACCAGTCTCACTCATACTCAAGCTCAGAACACGCAGCTCATACTCGGATCACTCATAGTCAAACTCGCTCAGGCTCGGGCTCACTCAGACCCAGACTCGCTCACATTCAGAACATTCAACAGCGTCATGATCAGACGTCGTTCTCACTCATACCCAGGCACAGACACACACACACACACACACACACACACACACACACGCACGCACACGCACTGACTTACTCACACTCAGACTGGCCCACAAACAGACCCACTCAACACACAGACGCTCGCACATTCTTTCGGGGGGCCCACCGCCAGAGGGTAGGACCTTTTTCCCCTTCGCGCCCAGATTGTGGGAATGTCTCGGGCGGTGTGCGTGCTTGGTGGCCCAGGACCCTCTCTTTTGAGAGCCCCATGCCCTTCGCGATGTAGCAGGTGAAACATCTGAGGACCCCCAAGGAGAAGCCGCCAGGGGGTACGTGGGACATGTGCAAGTTCGCGGCAAAAAGGTGGAGATGTCTCAATCGGTTCGCCTGCGTTGGGGGCCAGGATCCCTTTCTTTTCAAAGCCCCATCCCATCGCGATGTAGCAAACGTGGCAATTGAGCACCCCAAGGAGGGGCCGTCAGGGGGTAGGACATTTGCCAGTGCGCGCCCAGCATGTGGCGATGTCTCAGGCGGTTCGCCTGTTTCGGGCCTCGGGCTCTTCTCTCTTCAGAGCTCAATGATCACCGCGATGTATCAGGCAAGGCATTTGGGCATCATCCCCAAAGGGGAACCGCCAAAGGGTGTATCACGGACCCGTTCGCGCCAAGATTGTTGGGACGTCCCTGAAGGTTCGTGTGTTTCGGCGCCACTTGCCAATTTGTTGCACACAGACCGTGAGACCTCCCATGCGAAACGCTGGCTTAAGCGTTCCCGACCCCTCTCCTTTCCGAGTCCAAAGAGAATCCGGATGCAGGCATGACATCTGGGCACTCCAGAAGGGGTTCCGCCAGGGAGCGCTCCTTCGCCGCAGGCTACGATTCCACCCAGACACCCATCGACTGGAATGCCAAGAACTGAGATGCACATGTGGTGACCTCCGCGTCGAACAATTGCAATGGATTTGCAATTGATCTCGAGCATGAAACGGTAAACAAAACAAACTGCTCACAGACACTGCCACAAGAACTGCGCCGGAATCGGACCGAAGCGACGACGGAACCGACAACGTATAAAACCGGCGGCGAAAACGGAAAACAAAGCTGAAGAACGGAACCATAACAAAACAACTCTGTCGCTTCCAGGGCCGCTGAGCGCGGTGCTGCCCATCAGCGGGGGCGCCGCTGGAGCCGCAGCGGCTGCTGGGCGGGCCCGCGCAGCCGCCTCTGTTGCCGCGGCGGCGGCCTCCGCCTCCGCCTCGGCCGCGGCCTGCTCTGCCGCGGCCTGCGCCTGCGCGGCGGCCGCGGCCTGCGCCGCGGCGGCGGCCTCCGCCTCCGCCTCGGCCGCGGCCTGCTCTGCCGCGGCCTGCGCCTGCGCCTGTGCTGCGGCCGCGGCCTGCGCCGCGGCGGCGGCCTCCGCCTCGGCTTGGGCCGCGGCCTGCGCTGCCGCGGCCTGCGCCTGTGCTGCGGCCGCGGCCTGGGCAACGGCGGCGGCCTCCGCCTTGGCCTGGGCCGCGGCGTGCTCAGCCGCGGCCCGCGCCTGTGCGGCTGCCGCGGCCTCCGCTGCGGCGGCGGCCTCCGCCTCGGCCTCTGCCGCGGCCTGCGCTGCCGCGGCCTGAGCGGCGGCCGCGGCCTGCGCGGCGGCCCTGGACTGCTCGGCGCTACGCCGCGGCTCGGCGCCGGCGACGTAAACGCCACGAGAACCTCCCGCGCTGCTGCTGGAGCGGGCGCCCGGCGAGCAGGCTCCCACCGTTACATCTAGGCTGACCTCGGCCCGGGGTGCATACCCAAAGGGTCTGCTCTTCTTGGCACCGTCTTGGAGACGCAGCGAAGAAAGAACAACAGCAGGTGAAACGATGACGGGGCAGTCGTGAGGAGGGCATCTTGGGGTTGGCTGAGTCAGAATTCGCCGTAACATTAGACCTGCGTGGCCTCGGGGCACCCAGCTGATGGGTCCAGCGCGCTGGGGGGGCACTGGCGCCGTCCTTCGAGACGGCACTTATATCAGCGAAGGGGGCCCTGCGGCCCTGCGCAAACATAATCGAAACCCGTGTCCTCAATTTGTGGATTCCTCAAACAGTGCTTGCACTTAGTGGTGCGCACTTACACTCCTGAACTGATTGGACAGATCCGCCGATGTTGCCCCCTTTTGCCGCCCCGTGCTGCCTCGCGTGCGCTCGTGGGCACCCTTTGCCTGGGTGGGTCCACCGAGATTGCGCCGCGTTGCCGCGCGCCTGGCCTCTCGGCGGCAGCAGCAGGGGCAGACAGCGCAGGGGGGGGGCATTCACTGCATGTGACAAGAGGCTCCATTCGCCCGTGTCTCCGACGAGGCCAGAACAAGAAAAACAACCACACAAACATAAACTTTTCGAGATCCGCGCGGATTTCGCGGATCTGCGCTGGACCCCCCTCCCTCCTGGCGCACTCCGCGCGCCAGGGGAGGCGCCGCCAGGGGGACCCGAGCGCTGACCCAAGAAACCCCCGCGGATCTGCGAAGATGTATGTTCATGCAATCTCTGGTTCCCCGGCGAACGCCCATGTCTCCAACGAGGCTCGCCGGTGAATGCGCGGAGCGTCTGTCCCCCCTGAGATCAGACGTCGCGAACAAAATGCACCATCGCAGAAATCACGACTGGAGCCGTAGACCCCATCTTTCTGCTGGAATTTTCGAGTCGCCTCGGTCTGCGAGAGTCCTGGGCCCGAGAAAAGACAAAATCGTCGAGTGCGAGAACAATGCAACGCCCGGATCGCAAGGCCCGACAAGGCTCGCCAGCGGATGCGCGCAGCGATCGCCCCCCTGGGCCATATCCATCCCGTCTTTTGTTGCCGCCACCGAGCC